GTTCGTTTTGACTGCTAACGTCAACAACATTATCATCACATCATTCTCATCGATATCACCATTATCATCGTTATCATCGCCAGCACTGTTATGTTTTTTATCAGCATCGGTGTGCTGTTTCAATCAAAACTTAGTGATGGAAATATATTAACCTGGTAAAAAGATTTTTAGCACTGGTAGCTTGCTGCTGAATGCATATAATAGCTAATAGGATTATGAGAGATGAGGTTGCTGCTACACTACCCACCGTGATGAAACCCATCACGATGAAACGAATAGTGAGGTACTGCTGCTGCCCGTTCTCGAAAGACGAGATGACCCTTTCTTCCGGCTTTATACCTTTCCAATGACGCTTGGGGGAGGGAGCCCAGGAAAAGTGGGAGGGTTCAATTTCCAATCAGCAAAAAAACCACTGTTTGAAAGTGCTTGATTAGAGATGTTGGGGAGGCTAATGTGCAGCCACACCCATAACGGTGATAATCATTCTTTTAAGGCGCAGCTGAATAACAGCTACATGATAAAAAAAGGCGAAATGGAGGACTCCAGAGATTTCAAAACATTTTGAGTCATAAGTCACACGAACAACCATCCCAGCAATTCGTTGCAGCACACAAAGGTCAGTATCGAAGAGTGGGGGAGCACTGAAATTAAAGCATTCTCGAAATTTATATCAGACAGAACTTTTAACTGGGCGCTGATTTGTGTACTTTATCTTGTATACTCATTCCTCCCAAACTATAACTTGCCAGGGCTTTTTCGAGTACTGCAGAATCTCTTGTCTTTTCTACCAGGTTTCAAAATGCGAGTTGTCAACTCTTTTTCGAGTACCAATTGTCAACTCTTTCGAGATCTTCGCTGTTCACACTGCGCTGCCAGTACTTTATTTTGACTTACTCTTTTCAGTTTTCACCATGCATGTAATTTCAGAAATTATCCTTCTCGCCTGGCACCCACAGTACCAAGAGTGATGCTAAGGTATGTTGCTAACGACGGATTTAAAACCGGCACTGAAAAGATGTCATAAATCAGCGACTTTGCACATCGTACTTTTCTTTGACGAAAAAAACGGTACTGTTTTTTGCAAACTTACCAGAAATGCTCGGAAAAAAATTCTCGATAGTCAGTGTCACTAGAAGTCATTATCAGCGTCACTAGAAGGAAGTTACTGGTGGACCGCATCTCTAAAATTTTTTTTTACCAGTAATACAAAAGCGAAGCAGTGTGCACTGGAAAACTGAACTCCCTCTCAAGAAGTAAGAAAGAGGCCAGCGAAAAATTTCTTCTATGTACCAAAAATTCACAATCCCGCTTGGATATGTGATGATGTAAAAGTGTAAAAAAATGCTAATATATCAAAAACGAAGTGAAGATTTATCTGTGCAAAAACATTGCCTACACA